ATATAATCAACCATTGAATGACCTAAGAAACTCTTTTCTTCTTTCATTCAATTGCCCTGGCCAGGGTCTTAATTTGGTCATTTAGAATTCATGACAACATGGAGATTAAACTCATTACCAAGAGTTGACAGATTTCATCTTGATTAATCACTAATTCTACAAGTATTCAATCGTACCCAATATCCTTTCAACTATCGCCCTAGGGCCATAGGTGTCTAGTATTAAAGCACAACAAATAACTTGTCAATTATTATGACGATCTCAGGTCAAAGGAAATTCTTACATCACATTCTTCAAGAGAATATCCTATTGACAGTTTATGGTAATTCTAACCATTAGGAATTATCCAATGAGTCAGTTCAATGATCATATCTCTATATGCATCATCTATCTTTGTGATTTAGTTAATGAGATCAACTAATCTTTATCCGATAAAGACGATCACATAAATATTGATCTAACTAGATTACTAATGTCCAAATTAATAATCCTATGATCATGAACAAATTTAAATTAAATTGTAAGAGACTTTGCTCTCATTATCATGATCTCTATCACGATGACAAATCTCAAAATTTAATCAAGGACCTTATCAAATTAATCAAACAATTAATAATAGTTATAAAAGAATATCAAATGCCATATATTTTATATCAAATGACGTTCACAAAAATATGTTCAAATTATCAAATATGATATTGGATCTAGGGCATATCTACTATATCCCTAACAATCTCCCACTTGCACTAGAGCCAATCGCTCTTGTACTTCATCCCAATTTCCACTTGTGCTTGTCAAACTCCTTTGCGCCAAGAGCTTTAGTGAATGGGTCTGCATCATTTTCCTTTCCATCAATCTTTTGAATCTCGACGTCTCTACGTTCAATCATCTCTCTTATCAAGTGATACCTTCATAGAACGTGTTTGTACTTTTGGTGTGATCTTGGTTCTTTTGCTTGAGCAATGACTCCAGTATTGTCACACAATAGTGTAACCGCACCTTCTATTGAAGGAACCACACCAAGTTCAGTTAAGAACTTTTTCATCCATACAGCTTCCTTAGCAGCTTCACTAGCTGCTATATATTCTGCTTCAGTCACTGAATCAGCTATTGTAGCTTGTTTGGAACTTTTCCAACTCACCGCACCACCATTTAAGGTGAATATCTAACCAGAAATAGATTTGCTATCATCTTTATCTGAAGAGAAACTTGCATCAATATAACCTTCAAGTTTCAACTCAGAATCTCCATAGATGAGGAATTGGTCTTTAGTCCTTCTAAAGTACTTAAGAATGGTCTTCACCAACTTCCAATATTCCTCACCAGGATGTGCCTGATATCGGCTAGTCACTCTAAGTGCATAAGCCACATCAGGACGTGTACATGTCATGGTATACATGATAGCTCCCACTACACTAGCGTATGGGATCCTACTCATGTGTTCTCTCTCTTCAGGTGTTTTAGGACAATCATCCCTACTGAGAGTAATTTCAGTGCATGTCGGTAGATAGTCTCTTTTAGAATTATCCATATTATACCTCTTTAAGATGGTATCAATGTACAAAGACTGGTAAAGTCCAAGCAGCTTCCTAGATCTATCTATATAGATCTTTATTCCTAATATATAAGTTGCTTCTCCCAAGTCTTTCATGGAGAACTGTTCAGATAGCCAAATCTTGGTACTTTGTAATGCCGATATGTCATTCCCTATGAGCAATATATCATCAACATACAACACTAAGAATATAATTGTACTCCTACTAACCTTTTTGTACACACAAGGTTCTTCTTCGCATCTAACAAAATTGAACTTTTCAATTGTCTTGTTAAAGCGAATATTCCAACTTCGAGAAGCTTGCTTTAGTCCATAAATGGATCTTTGTAGCTTTCAAATTTTATTATGATCAGACAAAGATGTGAAACCTTCAGGTTGTGTCATGTACACATCCTCTTCTAGCTCACCATTAAGGAAAGCTGTTTTCACATCCATTTGCCATATTTCATAATCATAGTATGCTGCTATAGCAAGCAAAATCCGAATATATTTGAGCATTGCCACGGGAGAGAACATCTCGTCATAGTCGACTCCTTCTTTCTGATGATATCCCTTGGAAACAAGACGGGCTTTGTAGGTCTCCACCTTTCTGTCTGCCCCAATATTTTTCTTAAAAACTCATTTACAACCTATAGGTTTTATATCCTTTGAAGGTTCAACTAAAGTCCATACTTTATTTTGCTTCATGGATTCCATTTCGGATTCCATGGCCTTTTGCCACTTCTTATAATTAGAACTTTGTATAGCCTCTTCATAGGTCTTAGGGTCATCATCATTATGATCAACCTCATTTGATACATCATCTTGTACCATTAAATTTAATCTAGTTGGTACATGACGTTCTTGTGTAGACCTTCTAAGAGGTACTTGTACAACCTGTTCACCTTGTGCTGGATTTGGTTGTTGTTTAATTTGGTTTGGAACTGGTTTATTAACCTGTTCTTGAACTTCATTTAGTTCTTGAACTTTAACCGTTGAAGATGGCAACTTCAAAACATCCAATAAAAGTTCTTCAACTTGGGTCTCATGATCCTTATATTGTGTTGATTCATTAGTTTCTTGAACTTCATCAAGTTCTATTTCTCCATTATAATTTCCTTCTAAAAGAAATTCCCTTTCCAAAAAAGGTTGCTCCCTTGGCCACAAACACTTTATGGTCAGAAGGGTAATAGAAATAATATCCCATTGTTTCCTTGGGATACCTAATGAACCTACACTTATCAGATCTTGAGTCAAGTTTATCAGACTGTAGTCTCTTAACATAAGCTGGACAACCCCAAACTTTAATATGTTTAAGGTTAGGCTTACATCCTTTCCATATCTCATATGGTGTTGTAGAGACTGACTTAGTGTGAACCTTATTAAGTAAGTATGTTGCTGCTTCCAAAGCATATTCCCATAAATTTATTAGAAGATCAGTGAACCCCATCATAGATCTCACCATATCTAATAAGGTTCGATTTCTCCTTTCAGACACACCATTGTGTTGTGGTATTCCTGGAGGTGTCCACTGTGAGAGAATCCCATTCTCTTTGAGATATCTGGTAAAATCTTCACTAATATATTCTCCACCTCTTTCAGACCTTAGTACTTTGATACTTTTACCAGCCTGCTTCTCAACTTCACTACGGAACCTTTTGAACATTTCAAAAGATTCAGACTTGTGCTTCATAAGATATACAAATCCATATCTTGACATATCATCAGTGAAGGTGATGAAGTAAGAATATCCACCTCTAGCTTGAATTTTCATGGGCCCACAAACATCTGTATGAATTAGTCCCAATAATTCATAAGCTCTTTCTCCACTTCCATTAAATAGAGATTTGGTCATTTTTCCTTTGAGACAAGATTCACAAGTTGGATATGATTCAAAATCATATTTGTCAAGGTACCCTTCCTTGTACAACTTATTAATTCTTTTCTCTCCAATATGACCAAGCCTACAATGCCAAAGGTATGTATGATTTACTTTATCATCTCTTTTCCTCTTAAGACTTGAAACATGCATAATCGAATTAGTATTCACATTAGGTAAGACATAAACATCATGTTGGAGATAGCCATTCACATATAAATTATCACTATAATAAATAAAGCAAATATCATTGCCTATATTAATGCGAAAACTACGTTTGTCTAATATAGAAGCTGAAATTATGTTCGAAACAAATTTAGGAACGTAATAACAATCATCCAACATAAGTACTTTACCCGTAGGCATTATTAAAGAAATTGATCCTACAGCTACGGTCGCAACTTATGCATTATTTTCAACTTGTAGATTAATTTCTCCTTTCTTCAACTTTCTACTTATCTGGAACCCCTGCAACATATTGCAGATGTTATAACCACTGCCAGTATCTAATACCAACAATGAAGAATTAGTAGTAGTTAAAGAAACCTTGAAAACATTTTTCATTAACGTCTTACCTTGTTTCTTGTCCTTTAAAGTTGCAAGATACTCCAGGCAGTTTCTCTTCCAATGTCCTATTTTCTTACAATGGAAATATACAACATCAGATTGGTCAGCTTTGCCTTCTTTGCCTTTGGGTTTGGTCACACTACCCTTGGGCGCAGTAGGCTTTTTTTTGGGTTTACTTTTACCCTTACCCTTCTTCTTAGAAGAGTTTCCAACCAACATGACAGTTCCTTTCTTCTTCTCGAATGCAAGTTGATTCTCATAATCAATCAACATGTTAAGCATCTCATGAAGATCACAATCCATTTTATTCATATTGAGATTAATAACAAATTGTGAAAAGGATTCTGATAGTGACTGCAAGATCAAATCTTGAGAAAGCTCTTTACCCAGTTTGCAGCCCAACTTCTCAAGTTCTTCAATGAGATCAATCATATGATTGACATAGGGTCCAACTGGAGAGTTTCCAGTCAATTTGGATCCAAATAAAGCCTTAGATAACTGGTATCTAGCTGTCCTGCTTTGTGTACCAAACTTCTTCTTAAGATGTTCAATGATTGCAGTTAGATCCATATCCTGATGTTTCCTCTGTAGTTCAGAATTCATAGAAGCGAGAATGATGCATTTGGTAGTAAGACATTCTTCCAAGTATTTCTGATAAATCTTGGTAGCTTCATCATCATCCTCATCTGGGACTTCCTTGGCAGGCTTATCGATCACATCAATAAGCTTTTCATGCATGAGAACAATTCTCAAATTTCTGTACCAATCATCAAAGTTTGGTCCTACCAACTTGTTGGTCTCAAGTATTCCACGCAGTGATATAGCAGACATATTGAGAAATCTAAAATATAGAAAAGAAAAGGCAATAATATAAGAACATATTTGCATATATCATAAAGACATGGACTTTTATCTAAATGATATTTTCACTAATTATTTTAAACTTTTTACCCTCATTATAGTTTAAGAAATCTTTATTTCTGTTAGTGGAGTAAAGGAATCCTTTAACAATATGTATGAGCCCCTTGGAAGTCAAGTCGTTTCTCATATATGTTTTAAAGGTAGGTACTCTTACCAATTGTATCCTCATACAATTTTCTTAAATAGCTCTATATCAAATAGTCCCCTGGTAGTCAGGTCGATCCTATTGGAATAGTTGAGTTCAACCATCATGATAGCAAAAGAACTTATTAAATTTTATACTCCCCGGGTAGTCCAGGCGTCTAGTAAAAAATTGAATGATTCTTTCAATCCATGCATCTAATGCAATAAATAGTTTTAACATATTCTTGAACTATAAATCTCCTGGTAGTCAGGCCGCTCCTTATAAACAAGAAATAAGTAAAATTATTTACTTTGATGGATAGCTCAATAATAAAATATCTTATATTTTATTATTTAAGAACCCAAATTTTAGTAAGAAGGAATTGTTACTAAAACAGCTTTTAATAACATGAAGATCAAATCTTTTATAGCATGCGAATTTGGTTCAAGTTGTCTACATACTTAGTCCTAAATTAATTTACATCACATGTAATAAATAATTCAAAATTATGTAACGAACAAGCACGTGACATAAAAACAAAATTCAACATTCTTCTAACATGTTTAATCTATATATCACACATATCACAAAAAAGTAATTCATGCCAGAATATCATTATTAATTAACATCTCATGAACTAATAACAATTAAAAAATAACTATAGAATCATGTAACCTATTATAGATTCTCATCGTATCTAATACAAAATTTCAAATTCAAGTTATGAACTATCTCAATAGTTATATGAATATATATTTTATCCACAATAAAATAATATCAACATTCAAACGATTTGACTATTGCACAAGACTCATGTATTATGGTTTGAACTCTTCAAATATAATATTAAAATATTTCGTAAATAAATTTTAGACATAATAAACCACCGCTCTGATACCACTGAAAATTTATTTGCATGTCAAAGATCGGATCTGAGACGTACCTGGTAGAGAGAGGCTTGTTTCAAAAATTCTTCAATAGTGCAAAGACTCTATGTGTATCCACACCGAGACCGATCCTTGCGATCAACTCTTTAATCGATAAAACTCGCGAACAAATTGAATGAAATATATAGTGGTTAAATTTTCTCAAAACTTTCAGCCAGCTACATGACAAAGAAAGTGATTTACTTTGTCAAAATATCTCTCGTCGTGGTTCACCAAAAAGAAGTATCTTAACCCTTTATTTTTTATGATATTTATACATACATCAGTTGCCGGCTCTTTCCTATTTGGTTTGGGCAAAAAGAAAGACGTGACTTAACCAAATATGGAATTGGACTTTTCTTTCCACAATTTTCAATGGGAAAATTTCAGTCTCATTCCATATAGGTAAGCAACTGGTGACGTCCTTTAGGACTTTCTTCGTTAGTCCAATTCCAATTGGACGTAACAGGTAGTCTTTATTAATATTTACTAGTTATGAGCTAGCCCGTGCTGAGCCCGGGCCTGGGCCCGAGCTCAAGATGGATAAGTAATAGTTGGTAAAAATAGCATGGTCTAGCCAGTTTCGGACTGGTCATTCAAAAAATAGCTAGTGTTTGCAAAGTCATTGAAAAATAGCCACTATTTTACTACAACATGGAAAGTTACAACATAATATACTGAAGATCGGTGTACCTGTGTATGAACTTCCAGCATATTATGTTGGAACTCCAACACGCGAAAAGTTTCAATATAATATGCTGGAGATTGGAGCACCTGTGTATGAACTTCCAACATATTATGCTGGACCGGTATATTATACTAGAACTCCAGTTCCAATATACTGGAGTTCCAGTATACTTATACTGGAATTCCAGTATATTATGTTAGAGTATTTTCCGAATTTGAACAGTGTTTTCGTTCAGATTTATCTTTACATGAAAAGTGGCTAAATTTCAATTATTTTTGAAACTATGACTATTTTTGAATGACAACTTGTAAATCTGGCTATTTTTGAATGACAACTTGTAAATCTGACTATTTTTTAATGACAACTTGTAAATCTGGCCATTTTTGAATTTGTCAGTAATAGTTGTGATTGAATGAAAAGAATAGTATGTGTTACATATTAAATTCCCACCAAATCTCCTATTAGCTCCCCTCGTCAACAATCCGAACAAACTGAAATTACAAAGCAAACTTAAATTACAATTACAGATACGTATTCATTAGACACATGTATCTTCTTGTAAGTCAAATTTCGAATTCTCCTGCATGTTTTCCACTCCTGTATTCATCTCCTGTGAATCCCTAATCGACAAAGCTTGTGACATACTTCAAAAGAGCTGCTTCAAGTCATGTTAGTGCATACATATCACATTTAGACTACACAGGAAGAAGAAAAAAAGGAGTAAATATAATGTTTCTCCAGTTATCTCTGAACGATAGTGTATGCTAACTGATGTAAGACTTTCTTAAGACTATCAATGGCAGGATTTGCAACCAAAAAACAAACAAATCCTAGATGTTATAGACCAGTCTAACAAATGTACCTTTCTTTGCTAGAAAAGAAGCAAAACCAAAAGGCACTCACCATGGTCAATTTGGCTTCTTAGCCATGCTTAATGTTGTAGCTAATTATTTTTGTGTTTTAAGAGTTTAACAGAGTAGTACTGTTCTTCGCTACCATAACATTCATGCATTGTAATTGAGTGATCTTCATCAATATGGTTGGTTTCATTATAAGTGCAGCATACCTAGAGACTTTCACAGATACATAACACATACACATATATTATCACTGAATAAACAAAAATTGAAAAGTACCAAGGGAAAATAACGGACTCATCACCAACAAACAACCTACGAATCCACTATAAATACAATTGGTTGCTAATGAACTAAAGAACATTCATTAAAAGACTCTTGCAAATAACTTTTCAAATATTTATTTTCTAATAATGGTCCAAAATCCACCTTAAACCTTTTCAGTTGAACAATGGACAACAATATACTTAAGTAGGAAAGTTTATTTTATAGTATATCTGAATCATTTTAAAAACAAGATGCAATTACACATATTATAAACCTTTTAGAACCACATACTATATTGATGAGGATCATATGAGAGAACAATTTGTGCCTTCTCAAATTCTATGAGCTATTACAATATTATAATTCTGGTGATGATTCATGAAATAGGAATTATTCAATCCATCTTTATTCGTTATATATTACCAGATCAAGAGTACCAACAAAATAAAAAGAATAATTGATATTATTGTTTTAGTTGCTATAAGCACACATGCAACCATAATTAAAGGTGAACTGATATTGATATATGGCCAAAGGATAACTGATGCAGTAACAATATATCCTTCATATCAATTTCACCACCTCGAATTCAAGGCTAAGAATTTTTAAACTTTCAACTTTCGCCAATTCAAGCCTAATTCTACCACGGACTTCCAAATTATATTTCAGACACACTCCTAAGTCTAAAATCACCCAACGAAGTTAATCGAATCATAAAAATCCAAATCCGAATTCACTTACTCATAAGTCAACTTCTGATTGACTTTTCTAACTTAGCTTTCTAACTAAGAGGCTAAATGTTCATTTCACTCCAAAACTACTCCGAACCCAAACCTACCAACTCGATACAACTCAACACAGCTGAACAATACATAAAGAAGCATAGATGGGGGAAATGGGGCTATAACTCTCAAAATGACAGGTCGGGTCGTTACATCCTCCCCTTCTTAAACAAACGTTCGTCCTCGAACGAGTCTAAAAATATATCTGGAGTCTCAAATAGGTGAAACCTTGAGCAATACCTTCTCGTCACATTCAAATCATATGAACTCATCTCGCGGTCACATCATACTCATCACGTATCCATCCATCCACTATTTTCACTAATAGGGACACTACCAAACATATAAGTCCACAAGCACGCGCTCACACAATCAACACCTTAGTGCTCAATCTACAGTCAAAACTAGGCCTCAAATCCTCCAAACTGGTCCAACATCAACACACAGAAATCACATCTCGCACCTTATCCAGGGAATCACAATCCTTCGATGCACAACTGATACCGAGCACGCATGTGCACATACGAATGCATGGAAGAAATTCAAAGAGTTACACTTCAAGATGAATCAATATCGCACGATAAAAATTCAAGAAGGTGAAGTTTTCCTAAAGGTTTTGCAGCCTCTCGAAGATAAGTACAGACGTCTCCGTACCGATCCACAAGACTCTACTAAAACCGCTCATGACTCGTGAGACCTTTGTAACCTAGGCTCTAATACCAACTTGTCACGACCCAAAATCTAACCATGTTGTGACGGCGCCTATCGTATTACAAGGCAAGCCTATTTCCCAAAATATTACTACTAAATCGATTATAAGAATTTAACAAATCATTTTCAACATTTGAATTTCTCATAAACTAAATCAATTCTAAATATAATTAACATAAAATACAGAATCTGGCCCCAAATATCGGAGTGTCACTAAGTCATGAGTGTCTAAAACTATAAACTAAGATATATAAACTGTCTAACTATCCAAAAGAAGAAATGACAAAAGGAGTAACAAGGTCCTGCGGACGCTGGCAGCTACCTTGCAATCTACCCAGATAGTTGGCCTGAAATCAACGATCGTCGCGCTCTAACTCACCTGGATCTGCACAAAAAGTGCAGGGTGTAGTATGAGTACAACCAACTCAGTAGTAATAGAAATAACTAAGGAACTGAACAGTAGTGACGAGCTAAGTAAAACAGTCCAATTATTTATTTTCACAATTTAAAAATAACAGGAATAAACAGGTAAATTTCATAACTCAGTAAATTCCACAAAGAAAATTAATAGATGAATGCAGCAACAGCACAAATAAATGCAACCTCATAGCAGTGTCACTCTATCACTCATCACTCGCACTCAGCACTCAACACACTCAAAACACTCAACACTTTGCGCTCACTGGGGGTGTGTACAGACTCCAGATGGGCTCTCAAAGCCCAAGCGCTATGCACGGACAACTCACGTGCTACCATATCAATACCTGAATCTGCACGGTCAATTCACGTGCTACGCGGACAACTCACGTGCTATGGTATAAATATCTAGACCCGCACGGTTAACTCACGTGCTACGCGAATAACTCACGCGCTATGACATTAATATCCTCACAACTAGGCCATCGGCCTTACTCAATCATGTACCTCACTAGCCTCACCATCATCAACAAATAAGGGAACACAGCCCACATCAAGTATCACAACATATTAGGAAAAAAAAGAGACTGAGGTACACATGTACAAAAAATTCTATGACTGAGTACAAATAATGTGAGCATGAATAAAGCCTAAGCATGATCTCTAACATGAAGGCAGACAAGTTCAACAACAAGTAACTACGTAAACACAGATGATGGTCATGAGGCCTCACGGGACGGACCAAGTATCAATCCCTCGAGGTATACACCCACACGCCCGTCTCCTAGCGTGGGTATCACCTCCAAACAGTCACACAATATCAAATTCTCCGAGTTTATACCCTCAATGCCAGAGTTAAAACTGTTACTTACCTCAACCGCATAAAATCCAACTCCAGGATGCCCTCGTCTCTGGACTTGGTCTCCAAAATCTATGAATCTAACCATAGTTAGATTAATACCATCACTATGTACTAAAGAATCGAATTCCACAATAAAAACTACAATATATGCAGAAAACCCGAAATCGGCCAAAATCTGGCCTCACGTCTCGGAATCAGTAAAAATGGCAGAATCATAAACCCCGTTCTCTCTCGAGTCTAACCATATATAATTTATCAAAATCGGAGTCCGTTTGGTCCCTCAAATCCTCACTTAAAACTCTCCAAAACTCAAACTCTAACTCCATCAATTTCACTTTGAAATCATCAATCAAATCCCAAAAACGAAGATGGATTCATGAAATATAACCAAAACCGAGTAGAGAACACTTACCCCAATCCATATGGTGAAAATCGCCCAAATCCGAGCCCTCGAACTCAAAATATGACCGAATGAACAAACCTTTATTTTATATATTTTTTTGCCAACTATTCTGCCTCGTTTCTCGTGCCAAATGATTCTGAAACTTGTATTCTATGCCTCCAATGGATTCCTTGTGAAATTCTAGTCAATTTAGGCTTTTTAATCACTCAATTTGACCTTATAATAAATGCGATATGTAGGTTCTAATATTTACGAATAGTGCAGATTTTTAAATACGCTGCTAGTGACAATTTTGTAATTAATCTGAAAAATCTAGCAACCTAATTCTTAGTAAAATGACCCTAAAATCCTCATACGATGTCCAAATTCGATCATTCTTTTTGCTACAGGTCTATAATTATGATATGGATCTAATGTTTCAATCAAAAAAGAAATCAGAGCTCATTTGTTCAATATGATATCATTTATGCTTGAAGAAACGGCATCGAAACATAAGAAAAATGAGCGCTACACAACCCAAACCTATCCAAAACTCACCCGAGGTCCTCGAGACCTCAACCAATAATTTTAACAAGTCATATATCATTACCCGAACTTAGTCTAACCTCCATAACACCAACAACACCAAAATACCAAATCAACCTCGAATTCAAGCCTAAGAATTTCTAAACTTCCAACTTTCGCCAATTCAAGCCTAATTCTACCACGGACCTCTAAATTATATTTCGAACACACTCCTAAGTCTAAAATCACCCAACGAAGCTAATTGAATCATAAAAATCCAAATTCGAATGCGTTTACTCATAAGTCAACTTCCGATTGACTTTTCTAACTTAGCTTTCTAACTAAGAGACTAAGTGTTCATTTCACTCCAAAACTACTCCGAACCCAAATCTACCAACTCGATACAACTCAAAACAGTTGAACAATACATAAAGAAGCATAGATGGGGGAAATCGGGCTATAACTCTCAAAGACAGGCTGGGTCGTTACATTTCCTTGACGGGATAGTGTTGTTTCTTTATTGACCGGGACTCTCTTTGTGATTGGTGTTGAATTGTATATGTGGATCGGGTTACACACCGCAACAATATTATATTTGGATCGGGTTGCACGCCGCAACAATAATATAATTGGATCGGGTTCCACGCCGCGACAGTGATAAATGATATGGATCGAGTTGCACGTTGCAATAGTATTTTTATGGTTTAGATTGGGTTGCGCCCCGCAACAACAGATATTAAAACTATTTATTGATTGGTTACGATTTCCTTATTCTTTTGCTACGAATTTTAAATTGTTCTTTATGCTTTTCTCTTAAATTATTGTCGGTAAATGATATCCCCCGCAGCATGTCCCCCTCCCATCTTTAATTGCTTATTTCTGTTTATTTTCCGTTGTATATAATATAACTGCACAGGTTTATTTGGTAGTCTGGTCCTAGCCTCGTCACTACTTCACCGGAGTTAGGCCAGGAACTTACCAATACATGGGATCGGTTGTGCTGATACTACACTCTGCACTGTGTGCAGATCCCAGAGCGACAGCTTTTGGACCATAGTTTTGGGTGGCTGCCTTCAGTCCAGTCGGAGATCCCGAGGTAGTCCTGCAGGCGTCCGCAGGCCCCGACGTTCTCCTCTATCTTTATATTTTGTTTTCATTTACTTCAGAGACAGATTGTATTTTTCTTTTCAGACAATTATTTGTAGTATTCGTAGATGGTCCGTGATATTGTGACACCGATTCCGGGCAAAGATGTACTTGGTATTGTCGTACTTGTTCTTGGCTAAGTTATCAGATTACGTCTTCCGCATGTATGTAATTATTGTTAAAATTTCACTGTTAATCGCATGTTATTTTAAACTGCTAAAAAGGGGTAAGTAAAAGAGTTAGCGAATCTATAATACTCGGCTTACCTAGCTTTCACGAGTAGGCGTCATCACGACTTCCGAGAGTGGGAAATTCGAATCGTGACAAGGGTGGGGAATCAACTGTGTTGGCGTTGTTTTCAAGGTGTATTGTCCCAGAATCTGCCATCATCTCGTAAGCTAGGAGTTTGTAATGACGGTATTTGATCTTGATCTTTTGCCCCAACGTATTCATTGGTTATATTAGGGGTTTTGGGGGGATGAATTTCCTAGATCAATTTCTGGTTTTTGTATGAGCTCTTGCGTGAAGTTTTAAAGGTGGTATTGCTGTCAAGAGAGAGAAGTTCTTTTTTTCAGAGAAAAATGTATACTAATAACCATTTACTATCATCGAAAACTCCTACAAGTTGTTTTGAATAAATATTTCCGAGTTTGAAGAAGTTTTTGATTCTTTTTTTTGGGGGGTGTGAAAGGTGGTAAATTTTCTTCTATTTTTTCCAAAAATGTTTTGCGCCTCAAAGGAAATTTTCTCCTTGACTTATTATTTTTTTAAAATAAAAATATATACTGTTTATTATAAACAACTCTAGTCTAAACGGATATACCAAATTAAACAAATGGATATGAGCCATCAAAATTGATATAAAACACAAATCAGCACTTTTGATGGATATAATAATTAACTATTACATTTCACCAACGATAGATTGAGATGTCCATACTAAACAATCTCAAATATAATCTTTCTATTCTACTCAAAATAAGTTAAATCCAAAACTAGCCAAAAAATTTAATGCTATAGTACATTACTAAAATCTACTGGATTTTGTTACCAAGAAAAAGGATTCATTATCGATAAGATATTTAGTATTTTAGTGATGCAAATTTAATTACATGCTTTAATAAGAAGTCAAATCAGATTTCATATTATGAATTGTTTTAAGTTACTTAAGAAAGAATAATGTTATATTACATTATTGAAATCTAGTTATATTTTGTTACCAAAAAATTTCATCATGGATAACATATTTAGTATTTTTGTAATGCAAATTTAATTGCATGCTTTAAAAAAAAAAAAGTCAAATCAGATTTCTTATTATGAATTGTTTTAAGTTGCTTAAGCATAACTGAAGCCAACAAATAAAATTGAAAGTGTAATAAAATAAAATTAAGGTACGAGTCTTATTTTTCTGGTGTGGATGACCTTTTTGATTTCATTTCATTGTATTTTCAGTGAATCTTTTGGGGCTCTTTTTAATATATAATAACAAAGAAACATATTTTCTAATCTTTATTTTCAAAAACATCCCAACAGAATCAGATAGGGACAACTGACCCCCCTAAAGTTTGTACAGAGCCAACTTGGACCGGCAAATTTCGTTGCATAGTCAAAATGACATTTATTATTTTTTTCGATTTTAATAATACTTATTTTCTTTTCAAAATGAACAACAATTAGTTATTTTCCCTTTATATATCTTTTCAAGTTGAATACCAATTACTCCCTCTGTTTCATATTAGATGAGGTACTTTCCTTTTTAGTCTGTTCCAAAACAAATGACACATTTCTAAAATTGGAAATAATTCAACTTTAAACTCTTTATTTTACTCATTTACCTTCAATGAGAAGTTTTTATAGCCACACAAATGTCATGGTCCAACAAACCTTTTACCCCTTAAGCTTTTAAGACCACAAGTTTCAAAAGTCTTCTTTTTTTTTTCTTAAACTCCGTACCGAATCAAACTACCTCATCTAATATGAAACGGAGAGTAGTTGATTTACTATACAAGGAGATATGTCCGTATGGAAAATTCAAGAGTTTTAGCCAATATTGTCCCTTATTTTTTAGGGTAGGTCTATTTTGGTCCCTCAAATATAACCCTGGACATATTTAGTCCCTTAAATATGCTAAAGTGGAGCACTTTTAGTCTCACTGACAGAATGTGTTCAAAAACTAACGGTGGTAAGCAACTCTGATTCATGAAGCAAATCTTCTACTCCGAAGCAAAACGTTTCCTCTCCTTTTATTGGATAATACAAATGATCACTTTAATTCCTCATTTTTAGATAATATCTTCTAAAATGTTGACCTTCAAAATATCCCCTTCTGTATCAGTTTTAAGTAGGAGTAACAAACGGAGGGTCGGGTCGGATATGGTTCGGGTTGAAAACGGGTAATGAAAAAATGAATCAATTATCCGACCCGACCCATACACATACACACACATATTTTGTATGTTAATATATATAAAAATTATGCAAATTTTATATACTTTTTCGGCTACCAGATGTAAATAGTTTCTGGCTTGGGCCTTGGGCTATAAGTGATAATACAATCTGGTTATTCGTTTGCTTCAATAATATGCCTAGAAGTGATCTTGGCATCTCTATTTTTTCCAAATTTTAACTTTTCTTTTTGGAAATATCAACCGAAATTTTTCAAAGTAAAAGTTTCAATGTTAAAATCTTAAATTTATTAGCTTTGTAATATAAGTGGGTGTTAGTTTATAAAATATTTTCGATAAGTAAATTAAAAAGACGGTGAGTGGCGAAATCAACTCCATAATTGATCTTGGACAGATTCTATCAGTGAGACTAAAGGTGCTCCACTTTAGCATACTTAAGGGACTAAATATGTTCAGGGTTATATTTGAGGGGCCAAAATAGACCTACCCTCAAAGATAAGAAACAATATTGGCCAAAAACTCGTAACTTCAAGGCTTGGTTTTCTAGAAAAAAAATATCTTTTTCCCCTTAATTCAGTTTTCCTCTATGCTTCGCGAAATTTTCTTCGAACACTTAAATGTACGAAATAATATTTTTTTTTTTCCTTTAAATAAGTTATGATTGTGGTATGAAAAAATGAAATAGTACTACATTAGTAATTTTCTCATTGAAATGACAAATGTTACTTCCCTATCTGAAATTAAATATATCCTACTTAACATTTGGATAGTCAAAACATTAGTTATATTTAACCGAAAAGTTTGAACTTTTAAAGGTTTTGAATGCAAAAACTCCCATATATCTAAGTAGTTTTCAAATATCTAATTATTAACTAAATTTAGATTAATCTGTTTTTAATATATTTGATAACAACCTTACAAAATCACGATCGGTCATTTAATTTACTACGAAAGAAACATCGTGCATCCTAGCTTAAAATCTCTATTTGTTTTCAGCAGAACAAGTTTGATTTTCCGACAGTCGTGCATAGCTAGTACAAAGTTGAAAAAATTAGTTGATTAATGGGCTAAAATACACTTTTCTTTTTTAATTTAGATTTTCTAGTAAGAAGGGGAGTCTCGAAGTAACAGTAAAGTTGCCTTATGTGATTTATGAGTCACGAATTCGATCCGTGAAAGTAGTTATTAATATTTAGGGTAGGCAGGGGCGGAGCTAGGTAGGCGGAAGGGGATTTAGCGAAACTCCCTTCGCCAAAAATTACACTATATATAAAAAATAATTTTTTTCATGTATATATATTGCGTGTTGCATCTCTTTAGCTTCTTAATTAGCGTGTTTACTTCTTTTATTTTTTGAATCTTCTAGATGAAATTCCTGCTTCTGGTACTAAGGGTAGACTGTCTACATCACACCTCTTGGGGTACATCGCTTTTTCAAACCCTGCGTAAATGTTATATGCTTTGTGCACCAGTGTTTGCAAAGTCATTAAAAAATAGCCACTATTTTGCTGCAAAAGGGACCGGTCCAACATAATATACTGAAGATCGGTGCACATGTGTATGAACTTCCAGCATATTATGCTAGAACTCCAACACATGAAAAGTTTCAGTATAATATACTGGAGATTGGAGCACTTATGTATGAACTTCCAGCATATTATGTTGGAACTCCAGCACATTATGAAATCACATGTATAAAATCCAAATTCCAGCATCTTATGCTGGAATATTTTTCAAATTTTGAACAGTATTTTGGTTCAGATTTAGCTTTACATGAAAATTAGCTAAATTTCGATTACTTTTGAAACTGTGGCTATTTTTCAATTACCACTTGTAAATTTAGTTATTTTTGAATTTCACTCGTCCATTTATTGACTTAGCCAATTTTGACCTGTCCAAAAACTGCTCATTCGATACTTCTAATGAAAATCCAAAACTTCTTTTTTCCAATATTTAGATTCGAATTTCTTGCTCAATTAGAGGAAATCGACATGGAAATAATTCCAACGACGAGGCAAAAGACAATAATGGACTCTTGACTTGGTTTTGTATTCTGAGGTGTGGAATTGCTTTCATAACGTTGAAATTTCTCTTTTACAAATATGTTATGTGTCTCGAAGCCAATTTTCTCTCCTTAGAATTTTTCTGTTTAAAATAAAAACCAATTATTCATTATCAACCGTACCAAATTTAATAAAGGGGATTCAAGAAGATATTCTAAATTATTCTCTATTTAAATAAAAATCAACTATGCATAAACTTTAATCTAAACGGATATGCATTGGTGTACAAATCACATATCATGAACGTTTGATGCAATAACAACTTATATTATATTATATAATCTCAATGTAGAGAAACCACTACACTTCACCCAAGATAGATTGAGATTTTCATAGCAACAATTTCAAAGATAATATTTCCACTCAAAATAAGTTAAAGCCAAAATTAGCCAAAAAAGATGGTGCTTCAGCTTCAGCATGGCGCATGTGACTGTGACAACTCTGTAGAAACAAAAATACTAGGACGATTTAGCAAATTTTCCTCATCATGTTCATCTAATATGGTAAATTTAGATTGAGCAAATGAGGGTGTGGCTATACCAATGAATAGGAGAAAGAAATATGTGGTGGACATGATTTTCTCTTTTGTGTTTGTGTAAAAGAACTAAATTGAGGCTCATTTTATAGTATTGATACAATGTATTATTTAAGAAAGAAATTCAATGTTATATTATATTATTGAAATCTACTAGTTTTTGTTACCAAAAAAGGATTCATTATGGATAACATATTTAGTATTGTAATAATGCAAATTCAATTACATGCTTTAATAAGAAGGCAAATCAGATTTTGTATTATGAATTGTCCATGTTTAATTGCTTAAGTATTAAAGGCAACAAATAAAATTGAAAGAATAATAAAGTAAAAATTAAAAGAATTAATCATGAGTCTAATTTTTCTGGTGTTGATGTCCTTTGATTTAATTTCTTTTTATGTTCAATGCGAACTTTTTGGGGCTCTTTTTTGTAATAGCAAAGAAACATATTTTCTAATGTTTATTTTCAAGAAAACTTCCTATGTGCTAACATAACCCTCTGAATTTTGTTAAATAGTAAAAATGACATTTAAGGTGAAAAATGTCCATTTAAAAAAGGAAGTTAAAATTTTCCAATATAGAGATCACGATATAAGTCAAATTGAATTTTATATTTTCCCTTTTATGCTCATATTTATTTTATTATTTTCAAATATTTAATTAATCTATATATATACTATATATTAAAAGCACGAAGGCCCTTAGCGAAATGTCGTTTGCCTTTTTTACCCTTAAAATATGATTTTATATTGGACAAAATCACCATTTAAATTATCTCTTAATATTTAAAAGTTTTAAATTGAATAAAATTTTACTTATTAAAGTTTTCCTTATTTAAAGGGTTACGTATAAGTCTAAAATTTAGGATATCAAACCAATTAAAATTTGACCTTGTATAGATCAAACAATTCGTTTATAATAATGTGTTTCTACTTTTTTAGACCTACAAATAAGGAACATGCATTTATAAATAAAGCATGTTAAGATTACATTCAATCTACTGTTTCCTTTCAAATTAAATATTTAAACTATTCTATATACATCAAATTTATATAATTATTTTCTTAAAAAAAATACTTTACCATTAAAGTATATTCCATATTTTGACTATCTATAACTTAATCCATTCTACAGATTTGGACGAGAAGTAAATGAATAAAAAAAAGTAAATTAAAGACTAATATCTCCTTTATTGACAATTTTGAGAGGCAACCAAGTTAAGAATTAAATAAATTAGGAAACAACATTTACTCTTAGAGGAATAATTCACAATTACATATTATATTTTACCATCGTGTGTTTCTAATAAGCTATTAATAATTTGACAAACAATTCGATATGCTAATTCATTTCTAAAAAGAACATTAATAAATATTCATAATTTTTTACTCACTAATACTAACTAATAAATAATAACTTTCATAAACCACAAAAAAAAAAATTGTCAACCGAAATAACATAAAAAAAATGAAATTTGAATTAAAATATAAATATTCAAATATTGAGGACCGACAAAAATTAGAACTTTGGATAAAAGGTTTTATCACATTCACTTCCGCGGCGCGATATTATATTCTCAAATTTTGAAATGCGATTAATAAAGAATGTTTTTGACGGCTCAAAGGATTATTAATGAATTTTTGATGATCTACATATAAATCTAATTACACACGATTGCAAAAGAACTTCGGGACGAGCTTATGCGCAAGGGGTTGGGCGCATACCAGGCGTACGTCTGGGGCATTAAGGTGGAAGGATCAAGATTTATTATTTTTAGAAACTTATATGTTTTTCATACAAACATATTATTTAGTTATATTTATACGTTCGTTTAAAATGTTCTATAATCATTGACATGGATACATGCGCAAAACGCATATCATAAAACTAGTGACTTGATAAAAGTGTCATAACTACTAAAGTGTAAATAATACTCTTTGGATTCAACAAATTAGTTTTCATTTTCATAATAAGCACTCAAAACAAATACGACTTCAATATAATCGAATAAACAACTAAAAAGCAATAAATTTTTTCTCTAAAGTCGAATAAACAAAGCGATTACAAATGTAGGAGGGGATGTGAAAATCTTTAAGCACCCAAAAATATTCAAATTGCATCCTTCCTTTGCCAACTCGTCCGCTACACCATTAGCTTCCTACAACATGTTTCAGAAGCGAATCCCCTGGCATTATGCATCAGTAACCTACAATCGTCAATCAAATTTTAGTAACACTTTGATACTATGTTGCTCGGACTCTCCAAAGATGTTGCCGGGTGCGTGTCGGATCCTTCAAAACTAGTGTATTTTCAAAAGATCCGATACGGGTGCGGCAACATTTTGGAGAGTCCGTGCAACATAGCGTTGATGTATATTGTTTACCACATTGATAACATTCAAATAACTGGACCTTGTTATACCTTGATATAAGGGAAGCAGATTATAACTACTTAATTACTGCTTTGGTTGACGCTCGAGGAAAGCTGATCAGTTCCTTCAGATGTTCAATACAATCACTAGAATTACAGTTCTTGAACTGTTCAACGATCTTCTCTCGTTTTGGAGAATAAGCAAGGAGGAGTTTTATTAAGTACATTTCAGCTCTTGATCCTTTGAATTCCCTTACTCTCACCTTCTGAATCATCCTAAAAGCTTCATTCAAATGGCTTTCTGCCTTCGACAAGTAAGAAAACAGTTCCGTAGTGCGACTCTCGTCGACCTAAAGAAGATCATATTGCACCAAAAGTCAACCTTTCCAACATTCACGAAGTGTCGTATATGAACATAGACACAACATCAAACACAGTATAATCCCACAAGTGGGTCTGGAGAGAGCAGTGTGTACGCAGACCTTGCCCCTATCTTGAGACAGAGGCGCATGAAGGATTTAAGATCTATAGGTTCAACCCTGAAGGTTTTTGGCCATGAACCTATAGTATTTTTAAATTATGGATTCAAACCTACTATTTATTATAATTTTAGTAAATTTTTACACATAAATTTATGTTTTGCGTCGAAAGTACTGGATTCAGTTGAACCCGATGTTGCAACTCTACATCCGCCTCTGCCTTGAGAAGGATATTTCCGAGAGACCCAAAAGGTTCAATGTCCAGACACACAGAAAGAGAAACTAAATGTCCGTAGTCGGGAAATTAAGTCTTACCTCCACTGCCACACTTAAGTCAAGCTCATAAAGGTTAGGTGAACCACGAAGTAGGACAAGTGCACCAGAAAATTGTTCAACTGAAATCCCCAAAGCACATATTTTCAGTGTTTGCAGGTTTTGTGGTAGAACAAGCCTATCTGCTGCCACATGAAACAACTCAGCTAAAATCTGAAAAAAGCAATTTGAGTGAGAGATAAAACATTAGTTCTAGTAACAACTTTGTTTTGCAAAAATAACAACTGCAAATCATAGAAAATAAAGCAAGGTATATATGTTCTGACCTCTAGGGATGACCTATCCAAGCTGAGGTGCTTAATGCTAGTAACGATTGGGTTCAGGTATTCAATATCGATGTTATCGATAGTTAAGTTCTCAAGTTTTGGAGCAACCAAACGCATACGACCAAAAACACGGCAAGATATCAACTTCAAAGTCTCAAGCATTGGTAAAATAAGAGTGTCTTCTATTAGCTTACATTCAATTTGAGTGTCTACTAACTCAAGGCTAACAAGATTGGGGAATTTGACACAATCGGACGGCCTAAAGACAGTGGACGCTAAAACCTCCAAATGTGTCAATGATGAGCAAGTCATTATGCCATAAGGCAATTCATATAAACAACTGCCATCGGGCAAATGTATGGTGAACTTCTGTATACCATGCTTCGAGACAAAGATGATCCATGGATCCAAATACTTTGCCATATAATCATCATTTGACATAAAATGGAAACCGAGAATAGGTCCAGTATGCTGCAAGAGAATTGTATTGATTATCCTTGCAGCATTACCCACTCCTGCGTCAAATTCAGAGTCAAATGAATAGTTAAATGCAAAGTCAAGAAATTGGCTATCAAACACAAGGTGTGGTAGTGTGGACCACATCTGGTTCCACCGCTTTGATAAGGCGCTAGTTATTGCAGCATCTCGGATAGGAATGCGCTCTAGTATTTTATGTATTATCTCAGTTGCCGGGAAGGATGAAAGAGATTTCGGGTACAGAAATGATGGCCAATTTTGACCGGATGGGAGGTTTTTGAAAGACAGAGGCCGAGCTCCGGTTTCCGAGTTGCCTACATATCCCTGGTTTTATAGGTATCAGGCCATGGGCCTGGCCTAGTTCTGGATTCACATGCGGAGTATGCCATCACAGATGAAAGACTTCCTCGCATCAGTAGATACCTTGCTTTTCACCAATCGAGTCATAGTTTTTCTCTGAAATAATTCACAAACATGTTAGCTTGAACACGAATTGAGGATCTATAAAACAACAGCGAGCAATGGATATTAATGCAGATATTTTTAACTTGGAAAAGACCAAGGCAATAGGCACTTCTCTTGGGTTCTCAAAAGGACTTTCTGTTGAACTTCAAATATCTGTTCATTCCCATAGGATTTATTTAACAAATCAAACTGGAGTTAATCCGTATTACACTTAACCAAGCAGAGACAACCTGGGCATCGAAGGAAAAGGAAGAGAACAGATACTGAAATTGTAAATTAACGTAACAATCAGAAGAATATGAGGCTTCCAAGAATAAAAGCACACGAACCATTGCTTATACGCTCATTTAACTAACATATTTATAAGAACTGCACTTTCACAATTGTCACATCGCACTCCATTTCTATATATGAACAGAAACTCTAAATTACAAAATTAAACTTCAAATTCTTTGATAACATAACAAAAATGGAGTTTCATCAAAGCAGGAAAAAGAAAAACACAAAAGATTCCTTTAAATAAAGAGAGAATCCTCCTCCTAATTATTCCTGCTACATATATCTATTAGTCTTTCCCAAATTTGAAGTTTATTCAAATTGGGGGAACTCATAATGAGGTTAGAGCATAAGAAATTTGACCCAGCCCACCAAAACGCCTACACTAAACATTATATGCCTCAAGCAGTTAAGGATAATAGGAGCCTCTTTGGAACTGTCCTGCACTGTGAAACTTTGAAGCAACACGAATGTGATTCTTGTAGAAGTGGCAAAAAGGGGATATGGATGTGAATTTGAGGTTTCAAGCTTTCTGCTTTCAAGAAAATATTTTAAATTAAGATATGCTAAGAAGAAACAAATACGTAAAACTTTATACAGACTTAATAATTCTTATGGAATTGCGTCTTTGACCTCCCTAAACTTTTCTTCCCATGTTCCTCTAACTAGGGTAGAAAAGAGTGAGTTCAGCTTCAGTGACTACCATTTGTCGCCAAGATATGATCGAGGTCAGAGATTTTCCAAATTCTGATTCTTATGTTCTTATTTAAATATTTAACTTACTACTCCTACTGGCTTATTTAAGGATATCGATTATTGTAGAACTGAAGCTCAATTTTTAGAAACCAAAGAGGACCAGTGAACCCCCTAGCACTAACCTAGAATTTAGTGTATAAACTTAAGCTGCAGCAAACAGAGCAAGAAAGCCAAAAATGACATTTGTCATTTGATCTTACAGTAGATGATTCCAGAACCGAGCAAGAAAGCCAAAAATTGACATAGAAAATGAGAACTCTAGGTTTGAACTACAAAAACCTAGGAGAAATGGGGGTTAACTTCTTTCTTATTACTTATACCACCAAGTATGGTTTTTATCTTTCTTTTTCAACCTTTAAATTTTGTGACAAAATTCCCACAGGATGTACAAAATCCAGCAAGAAAAACTATCCGTAAACAACAGCTATAACCACAGGATACTCATCAAATTCCCATTATCAACAAAAAGTAACGAAACTCACCAGAATTCAAAAATACAGCAACGAAAACTCACTAAAACTCGGAAATACAGCAAAGAAATTTCACTAAAATTCAGAATACAGCAAAGAAAACTCACGAGAACTCAGAAATACAGCAAAGAGTAGAGAAAACTGGAATCAAAATGGAGAGAAGCTTTGAAAGTTGAAACGTCTGTTTTGAGAGAGAATAGCACTATGGTTTAATGCTGTATTCTGGCCCGTGCCCCGGCCTTAGTGGGCCTAACGGGCCGGGCCTCGCGGTCCCGGGCTTCGTCGTCCTGGGCTCTGGCGGTCCCGGTCTTCGTGGGCTCAATGGGTGGAACC